TATTATAAATGCATCATGCGCTATGATTGGTCAACGACTATACTTTCTATTCTTTTTGCGTCCTTCCATTGGTCAATATTATAAATGCATCACGCGCTCTGATTGGTCAACGACTGCACTTTCTATTCTTTTTGCGCCCTTCCATTGGTCAATATTATAAATGCATCATGCGCTATGATTGGTCAAAACGTGAACTCTATGAAATGAGGGCACAAAATATTAAAGCAAAAAACTGTTTGCTGCTGGCGTTTTATGAGTATTTACAGAATTGTGAGAAATACTCAGGTTAATCTATAGCTTCTCCAACGCTTCCTTTTTACATTTTGCATTTTTTTTGCCTACAAAAATGTGTCTCTTTCATAACAATGTGGACACATCTCATTTTACAAGTTTGTCCTCATGAAACTTTGAGAAAGAAGCTAAATGCCTCGTTTTGTTTGCTAGATCTTCCAGGTGCCAGAGTGGGTCCGTCAAATACTAAGACCCAAGTAGTTTTATGGTCGACGGTTGGTTCCCTTATGTTCTTGGGCGTTGTCATAGTGATGATAGCTGTYTGTATCGTSAAAAGACGTCARAAGGCAGGCCATACCAAGGCACATCCACAAACTATGGAGGTTAGTGTTATCAATCTGGTGTGGTCGCTTGCACGTTGTGTTCACCTTTTGAAGATTTAAGGCCTGTCTAAACTAGGAGACATGTAGCGCGCGACATACCCGCTACATTGTTGTCAGTGTGTTTCTTGGGGTGGCTAAAACATTCAAACTACAAACGAGCGACATGTCGCCCGTCTCACGCCATCACTAGAAATCGCATGCGCAGTACGTCTATTTTTCTGTTRTTGCTATGCTACAAGCGGACGACATGTCGCCTCCGTTGGCTAAAGAGAAACATCGCATCAACATGTAGCGGACGCAAAAAAATGTTTCTGATGTTTCCCAGAAACATTTTTTGCGTCCTGGCTACAAAATTGTCACGCGCTACAATGTTTTTTGAGGTGGTCAAACTGAGAAACATCGAGGAAACAATGTCGCGCGCTACATGTTTCCTAGTTTAGCCAGGCCTTTATGGATTTTATTTTATCATCAAGATAAGAATTAATCTGCGCTATCAGCCCTTCATATAACTGTTCATATTTTTACAAACTTCTAATTTTCATTRTTAATGCCAAGATCATTTTCAGATGTCTGCTCAAAATGGCGAAAAGTCATTGACTCCTCAAACAAATGAGACGGTAGGTTTGATACTCTATACACAGGAAGCCCAGAAAATATGGTACTGATGACCACAGTAGACCCTCACCCCACCCCACTAATAAACTGATGAAATACATTGTAGTTACCTATGAATCAAGAGCTGTTGGGCGACTTGGAGTATCTCCGCTTTATGGGAATGGACAGAGACTGGGAACTACCACGTGATCGTCTTGTAAGAACCAATGATAAGCTTGGGTCGGGTTGCTTTGGCAACGTGTATTCTGGCGTGTACACTAGGAAGGATGGTAAAGAGATGTTAGTCGCAGTAAAAATGTTGAAAGGTAAAAAAATATCCTTTTCATTGTTTTTAGAAGCTACTAACAATAAGAGTGTATTGAATGCCAAGTTTGCACCATTATGCTTTGCGCGTCTCTGTTATTGTTAAGATTATTGATAAAAAATACTTCTAGTGTCCAAATATCACCATAAAAGGGATGTCCGATGGTTGAAAACTCTAATATTAGATTTTGGACTGTCGGTAAAACTGAAAATGGCCGCCGCAAGGCCTTCGCGGACCCCAAGCATAATGGTTCACACTGGGCCTTTAATTCCATATATTAATTACAGTGAATGCTACCGATGAAGATCGTAAAGATCTCTTAGCGGAATTGGAAATCCTTAAACAAGTTGGGCGTCATAACAACATAGTGTCACTAGTAGGAGCATGCACAAAGGACGGTAAGGAACATTAAAAGTAATACGTCTTATTCACGATAGCTGCAATGATAGTTTTTACATTGTAATAAATTAGTCACTAGGTCCTCCAGGGAACAAACAGAATCAAATTTGGATATTTCAGCAGGTTTTTCATACAATTTTATAGTTTTCTTCAGTCGTACATGTGAATAATTATCGGATGAATATTTTCTTTCAATTTTAACTGGTTTATATAGTCTATTTTAAATTCAGTCTATTATTTTTATAATTAATTGAAGAAATTAAGATTCTATCGGCTCCAGGATTGTCAAATATACAGACATATCTTCTGTTAGCTTGAAACAATATTTTATGCAAGCATGAATGGTACTGACGTACTGAGCTTGTCGATCGCTCRAAATTTACTGTTTCTTCTAAACTAGTTTGCCTCCTGRAARACTGCATGCCTAATATGCATTGCAATGAAAGCCATCGTGGTGACTATCGTGAATAAGACCGATTGGACCTATTGAACTGAAGATGATGATGATGATAAATGATACTAATCAATATATTTTACCATATATTAGAGCCTGTATGTATCGCCATCGAGTTAGTAGAGGGGGGTAATCTTCAACAAYTTCTGAAAAAAACCCGCGTCCCCTACCTACATCAAGGTTACGAGAACATTAGGTCAACAGGCTTGACCGACAGGGACCTGGTARCGATAGCTCTGGACATAGCCAAAGGAATGAGCCACCTACATAARAAACAGGTCATTATTCAACTTTTATATAACGACAGCAATGATTGGTCCATTTCGATGCAATAACTATAACGTATGTTTTGATTCGTTAATTCCCCTCGTGATCTTCCTATACAACCTGCTTTGCAYTACTAACTGTACAGCGGTATTTGTTTATCAGTGTATCCATAGAGACCTCGCAGCGAGGAATGTTTTAATTGGGAAAGGCCTGGTGGCCAAGATTGCTGATTTTGGTCTCGCTCGCAATATTCCTTCRGATGGACTCTACGTGAAGACTACTGGGGTACCGTTTTTAGTGTAACTACTCATTCATCCAGTCAATCGTCAATTTATCAAATCAAAGTKTCTTCCATTCAGTTATTTATTCTTTTATCCATTCATTCACTTATTCATTYACAGGGAAGGATCCCATGGAAGTGGATGGCTCCAGAAGCCTTAAGAGGCCTCTTTACCAAACACAACGATATGTAAGACCGAGATAACTTGTTTCTTTTCATTTCGTTTCGTTTTGCTTTGTTTTGATTTGAAACGTATACGGGTGTTTTCATTTTCTTTTAGCTGGTCATATGGGATTCTGTTGTGGGAAATAGCAACCCTTGGTGAGGTTTTCGCTACCATGCATGATACACTTTGTCGAAACATGTATGCTGATGTCATAAAGAACCATTGAAGATTTGACCCTTTTTTTTAATTTCCAGGCGATACTCCTTATCCAAACATATCTCAAGTCATTCCTCTTTACAACCTTCTGGTTGACGGCTACCGGCTTCAAAAGCCACCACAGTGTGACGAGTTATTGTAAGTCTGCACAAATAATGACAATGATGATGMTGATGACGAGATACTTATGATTATTCATCATTATCATGGCGTCGTTTTCATAGATATGAGTTAATGAACGCTTGCTGGTCAGTTGAATGTTGCTCAAGACCAGGATTTGATGAGATTCAAACTATACTGACGGATATCTTGAACCAAAACAAGGTATTAAATATGGCAGACTCGTACCCAGTCGATACTCTTCTTTTTTCTCTGGCGCGTGCAAAGGATCAAGGGAAGTTGGAAGTTCCTTGATGCACTGCGACCCGTAAAACGAGCAAGAGAAAGGACTGGGTACGAGTCTGACCAAATGGTCCAAGTGAGCGGATGGATAGCGGGGGTTGGATGAACAAATAAATGAATAAATCAGATGAGTGAACGAATACTTGGATAAGCCTGGTTTTCACTTCAAATCATTAATCTTATATACTCTCCTTGTTTACAGAGAATTTACATCAACTTGATGGCTATGGACCTAGAAGACGAAACATTGGAACACTCCTTATAGTTGCTTTTTTTAGAATCGGTCTWCCTGTGCTCTACACCGCACGACGAAGACTGGGTCTAGACTATATCAACTAGCACCCATTTGAATTATATTAATTCTAAGTATTTAAAGTCGTCTAACATAATGACTGCCTAAAAAGGTTATTCTCATCTGTCGTTTGCAGACTGACACGCTACAACAGGGGATATTAACTGAGATCTTCGATAAAGAGCTTATGTCCATGTGTCAGACCATTAAAAACACTTGTCTTATAAAGAGGCCATGATGGTGCCACCGCTTTGCTATGATTTCCATTGACTTCCTGTACAGTAGTGAATAGCCTCGAATCCATGTGTAAATTCATTGTTTATTCTATTGTTTTCCGTCCTAGGAACGAGGCAATGCCGCCTGTAGTTGAATTTTAAGAATAGCCAATATAAAGTTTAAACCAATTGAAAACCACAGACATTAAAWATGGTCCCGTGACTTGATAATTCCTAGATCACGAAACATTAAGTAACAGTTTAATAACGACGTCACGCGATCCTCAAGAAATTTGTTTGGACAAAATATGTCATTTCATCGTTATAAGTTTATAACTGTAACTTTTCCAGCAATGTAGATGAGCTATGATTGGTAACTAATGTTTGTATCCCTGTAAGAACCAAGCAACAGAAAACAAATTCTTTTCCAGTATGAAATACTATACATTAAGAATAGAGAGACATGTTTCTGGTGTTTTCCATAAAGTATTCTCTCTCGCATCGCACTAGAACCTGACACAGCGGGCAGTTAAGACTAACAAATTAGTGTAATTGTCTAATCTGACCTGAATGAAAGGGATCAGTCATTGTTAACTAAGAGAAAAATGTTGGAAAGTTTGACAAAAAACGCAATGTAAAAGGAACAAATTACCCGCAAGAATCAAAGCAAATGAAGACAAAGAAAAGGTAAAGAACCAGACGAGAAAGCCAATAAATATGCATCTGAAGCACAGCGAACATTCAACATGAAACAAAGCAATGCGAAACAAGTAAACAAATAAACAACACAAAAAGAATTAAAGGAAAACTAGAAACAAAAAAGTAGAAAAAATTAGGCTATATAAGCAAGAATATATGAGCCTGGCAGCATACAAAAGTTACAGTTTAGTAGATGTTGTTTCTATTTTCACTAAGCATACATTTTCAGCTCGTCTTGCATTAGAATCCTTGATTTTATTCCAAAGCATTCCGTTCACAAGTACAGTTTCATACCTTCACCTTCAAGCAGGTCAAGGGTTACATCATCGCTTTTCAGTCATTTCTTTAATGAATGTTCATTATCGCTCGTTCAGATAAACATCCATCTACCATGAATGTCTGCAATGCCACCCAGAGGAACCGGGAATGACCTTTCGTCTGCTTCCAAATGCCGTCTGAAAGACCCAACTCTTCCACACAAACAGCCAGTTTACACCAACCATGAGGGCTGGGAAAATCATCGTCTTATTGCTAGCMTTGCTGTTTCTCTTTCTTCACTCAGAAGCGAAAAAAAAGCGAGGATGGAACAGCCAAAGACGACTGAGAAGGCTTTGTTCAAGGCCTACCAATGCGAACAAAACTCAGAACAATTCCGCTTTGGAGATGCACGCTTTCTTCGATTTGAAYCCAAATCACAAGAACCACAAGGTACGTTGCAACGTCTTCACTCGGCGTTCGTACATCTTGAAGCCTTTATGAAGTTGTTTATAATAATGGTGAAAGGCTATTTCCTGCCTTGATATAGATTTGATATGGAATCTTAAGTCGTTTCTGATGTTGTGGCTGAATAGATGACTATGTTTATCGCATGAGGACAAGTCACACTAACCAACCCACACAGTGACTTTTGACTAAATATTTCACCAAGCAATTCGTATTTCGCCATTGAATACTTTGCATTGCATTGTTTACGAAGTGAAATTTAAAGATTATTTTTAAATACCAGTGATAAAATACTCTTTAATAAAAATATTACTACATATATATTCTTACTATTAAGCGGCTTGCACAGAAAAATGAGAGAAACTTCACAATACTTTCAACACACACTTCTAACCTTTAAATTTTCCAAGAATCACTTCTTTAATTTACATATTTCCAAAAAGAAACAAAAATATCGGAGGAAAAAGGTCCCGTAGCCCGGAGCAAGGTGGAGAAAGCAATGAAAACTCTAAAATATTCAGATATCACGTGACATACTTCGCACGCAGATCAAACAGACCAGGCAAAATGGCGTTGGACAAAAAACGGAATTTTTTTCTTGATAAAATATTCCATTTAGGCTATGACCAGTTAATCAAAATGCTTTTTCTATACAAATATCTAAGGAATTTTCTGTTTTTTCTCCTTTTTGAAGCCACGTTGATTGACGTTAGATGGTAATTAATCGAAATTTATTGTAAAATGAAAAAATATCATTAATTAGTTTATACTAAATAGTTATGCTTAGAAATTAACGGCTCATGAATTGACTCGTTGATTGATTGATGATAAATTAATAATTATAGATATTTTCGGTATTTTTCGTGTCGCTTGATTTTTTTGATAGTGTAATAAATCGATTTAAAAATGTTTATCAATAATCAATGGGTTATACTATTTATTAACCATTATTTTCCAGGCCTTTGCGTGTCTTAAAATCACTACATGYTCAACAAAGCCGGTTTGCTTTGTCACTTCATATCCCAACTTGAACACAAGTACAGTCAATGAAACGACGAAGTGGTGGGAACTATTATCGGACATACAGGTAAAAACACCGATAAAGATTGATAATACATAATAGTAATAATAATTAATAAGCAATAATGATTGACAATATGTACGTAGTATTAATAATTATTACTATCATAAAAAGATAGCAATAATGTTAAGCACGCAACGTTCGCGTTGCTAAGGTTCGAGTCCAAGTCATGGAAAAGCCTCCCAAGTAGCTTAATTGACACTTCACTGGCTCTTCAAATTGAGACTTCACAGGCCCATCAAGGCCAATAAGACTAAGATCTATAAAAGTTTTGAGAGTTTGTGCTGTGCACATCATGCCTAGTGCTTTAAAAGAACTAATTTTTAATTTTTAATTTTTTTTTAATTTTTTTTTTTAATTTACTGTGTTTGATGCATTATACTTAAATTTCGCTCGAGGAAAACAGAAAAACAAGAMAAAATTTAAATAAGCAAAACGACGAAACATCAAAACGATATCAGATATCGTCCATCGTAAACTTGAAAGCAAATCAAGGATTCTACTGGCTTAATCATGTTCGAAAACCGCGCCTTGTTCACGTAAAAGTTTTTTCGAAAACTACTAAAAAGTCACTGATTCAGAGGATCTCGAGTGGCCCACTTATTTACTATCTTATAATCAACACACCAATTGAAATTTCCAGACCAAACAAACCACTAGATGAAGGAATTTCGACTTTATGCTTTCTCTATTGACTTAAGTGACCCGTGCATATCCCGCAGATATGAAGTCTGATTTCACCGGAAAGGCCTTGGGCCCACWATAAACACTACCGAATAGAGAGGTCAACAGCAGAGTATCGGSTTGCTAATAGATAAACCTGTATCGTAGAAGTGGGCTGGAATAATTCGAGATGCTTTGGTAATGATGTTAATCAGCTTTATTCCAGATAATCAATGAAGATTTTTTTTATTTCATTTCCATGTGGGCAATGAAAAATATGATGATGATAATGATGGTGATGATAAAAGTAATTATGATCATGATCATGATGACAGTTATAAAAGGACGTAGCAGTAGAATTTGATATAGTATTTTTAAGAACAAAACAACAGCCTACAATTTTGACAGTGTTTCGGCGATCAATCGCCTTCCTCAGATGCTAATGATGATAATAATGATGATGATGATGATGATGGTACAACTATTTTTGGAGTTTTCGCGAAATTTTGTCCATTGCATCACCTAAAAAGCTTATCAATCCATTCACCAAGGAAATAATATGGTGTTTTGATAATGTCGTTCTGCAGCTTTGAAGATGGTTGGTTTGGTTGCCCCATACGTAAATGTTATCAATTTTTCGTTCATTTTGTTATTAATCAACAAAGTGACGCTCTTAATAGTTGTTTCGGCTGCCAAATGAAAATCACACTTCATCTAATARCTACTGACTGATTTCCTGACCGACAATTAAGGGTATTTATACTTTGCAAGAATAATATTTAACTAGATATAGATAAAAGGCGCCAAAATGGCGCGCGCGTCATACAATTACGTCAAAGACTGGGATGTGTAGTGGGATCACAGCTGTGRTTGGGGTTCAAGTCTCGTGACGGGACAGTGAATTGAATTTGAGTGCGACCGGGTCACTGTTTGACAAGTTGTTCTTCCTTGCCGCAACACTTAAATCATCAGGATACGCCACTGGGGTAATTTCACCTTAAGCAAAAATGAAAATTTCAATTTCAAACGATCGATTTTGCTGTAGCTAGAGCAATACAGATCTACATGAAAACTAGCGTTAAACTGTTGTACTCTATTGAAACAGATGTAATGAAGTTATAAAATTATATACGATGTAAATAGATAGAAAACTTTCCGACCCTTTGGACCTACAAGTTTTGAAGAATGCTGCTCACAGCTAGTTTGAGTGAGGGARACAAACCAGCGTAYCAAGAGAAAAGCCCTTAGGGCAAAGAAAACATAAATAGTTACAAACTCAAATCACATAGAATCCTGGGCATATTAACCAGGACATGCACTGAGAACATACCRGGACCACAGCGGTGACAGACCGGCGCGCTAAACGTTTGACCACCCTTGCTACCAAATCGCAYCATTGTCTGAGCCGCTACATAAGAACGAAAAATACGTTTAGCACTTCCAMGTCGAGGRGATTTATCTTGAAGTCCCAGTAAGATCTACTTAAGTTAAATACCATCTAACTGCTTGGTATTCYCAATGGAGAGGAGACAGTTTAAGTGTCTGGTTCAAGTAACTCAAATAGCAGCGCGTACGATGTTGCCAGACTCTATTATACCGAGTCTAAATGGTATAGTGAAAAAGCAAAAAAAATACTAAATAATTAAGTGCGCCTCAGCGYCGCCAATTTCTACAACCAAACACGATGGGAAATGTATTCTGGCAGTTTTTCTCTCAGATAAAATTAGAAATGTATTTGTATTATATTCATGAAGTGACAAAATAACTTTCATTTTTTCGGAAAAAAAAAACGAACGAGGATTATGACGACGATTCATAAAAAACTGCGAAGTAGGACTATATTTACTCCGAGATCTTCTCTGAGAAAGAAAAGTCAGCGCTGCTGCGCATTGTCTCATTTTGTGTAAATATGTGCTTGATGTAGTAATTTTCTCGTGACCAGTTAGGATTGTATACACAGATAGATTTAAAGTAGGACTGAAGATATACTAAAAATGAATTAATAAAATAACAGTAGTATGGATGCGTATTTATCAAATAAAAAATAAACACAGGAATGCGTGAACATATGTTCAGTCTAGTTTGTCCTCAGCCATAGAGAAAACTTCACTGCATACTGAAAGTCTTTCATTTTTTCTCTTTTCTTTTTACAGAAAGACAGAAAAATWGAAGTCATCAACGATGGCTCACAGGTACTAAATACATTAAGTATATCAAGACTTGAATATACTTTGATAGCCACAAATATAGGATCTGTAAAGCTCGCACATTACTGAATAAT